TAGATTTAAATAATTAGAAAGATATTAATTGCTCTTGGTTGGACCAACATAATAAAGTGATAATATGACCAAAATAATTTACAAGATCCAGTAACATACCAATTAAACTACCAAAGGATTACTTAACATAACCAGAAAAAAATGATAGCAAAATTTGCCTGGAGGAGCAAAAGATCTAGGATCTCAAAAGAAATAATGGAAAAAAAAGTGGAAATGAAGAGAACTTAGCAATACCGGACATAAAAAGGCATAGCATAAACAAATTAGAAGACAAAGGAAAGATATCTCCTTTTGCAATTATAAATAGGGGAAAAATTCTTGACCAAATAAAGAATAAAGAGGAACACGAGAGATAATGGGCAACTTTGATTATAATACATAAAGTTGAACAGCTTCTGCATAAAGAAAAGCTAATAGTTAAAAGGAAGGAAAGTAGTTTTTTTATAAGCTAACTAGGTAAAATGTTTTCAGCATGTTTCTCTGATCAAGGCTTTATATCTAAGATACAGAGGGAATCAATTTAAACATATTAGAAGAACTATTTCCCAACAGATAAATAGTCAAAGGCTATGAACAGGCAGTTCTCAATGAAAGAAACCTAATCTATCTTCAGCCACATGGAAAAAATACTCTAATTCACTTCTAACATGAGAAATGAAAATTAAAACAACTCTGAGGTTCCACCTCACCCTCAAAAGATTGGCAAAGATGATAATAAAAAAAAGGAAAATGACAATTGTTGAAGAATTATAGGAGGGCAGACACTAATGCAATATTGGCAAAGCTGTGGAATGGTCCAACTATATTGGAAACCAATTTGGAACTATACTCCGAGAATCATTAAACTATACATTAACTGTACATTAATACTACTACTAGGTTTATACCACAAATAGATCAAAGAAATACAGAAAGGAAAATTAAACAATCAATAAGCTTTCTTTATGTGCCTGACACTGTGATAAAAAAAAAAATCATATGGTAGCACTTTTGTTATAGTTCCAGCTACAACTAGAAACCAAGTTGGTGCCTATCAACTGGGGAATGGTTGGACAAATTATTTCATAGAAATGTGATGAAATATGATTGAACTGTGATCAAATGAGATATTTGTGAAGTGCTTAGCACAGTGCCTGCCACATAGTAGGCATTATATAAATGTTAATGACTATTTTTGAATTATAAAAATTTTTAAATTATAAAAGGGAGGACCAGTATGAACTGATACAGAGTGAAGTGAGAAGAACCAGAACAATTTATGACATCGTAAAGCAAAACAACTTCAAAAGAATTAAGAACTCTTATGACCAGCCCCAAATTCACAAGACAGATGATGAATCATGCTTCCACTTTTTGACAAAGACATTTCCAGAGGTGCTCAATGTGTCGCTGTTGTATTTGATCATACATTTATTTGTTACAAGAGAGGGAGAAGGAGCAAGGGGAAGGAGAGGGAAGAAGCATTTATTATGCACCTATTTTGTAACAGGCATTGTGTTAAGTGCTTTACAAATATCTCATATGATCCTCACAAGAACCCTGGGAGGTAGATGCTATCATTATCTTCATTTTACAGATGAGGACAGGTCAGCTGAGACAGGTCTTACTGACTCCAGTACTCTACTCTGATTTTTTTTTTTTTGGCAGTGGGTTGAGGGAGAATACAAGGGTGTAGAGGCAAGTATTTACAACCAATGATGCCCCCCAAAAAGAAAAAAATAACATCAAAGGAAATATTTAAAAATACACCAAACAGAACAAAAGGAACTCAGAGAAATAGACAAGGAGAAGTTTGGAATGACCATGTTAAATTTGTTATAAATTTTTTAAAATTAGTTATGAGTAATAGAATTACATTTTCATATACATCCTATTTTTTAATTTGGAAATAAGCATGTTAATTCATGTCCATCAAATTCAAAATCATAAAAAAGAAAAATTTAAATTCAAAACAAAATTTTTGAAAAGGAAATGAAGTTGTGTAATAACCTATTCTTGATGAGCCTGGGCTGAGTTTTAGTGACCGTTGCTTCCCTCTGCAAATGCTCACAAGCCGCTCCTTTAACAACGTGTTCTAGAATTTTGCCAGGAATGGATTTCAACTTGACTTACTGTTTGCAGACTACACCCTCTTCCCTTTTTGGAAACCAGGACATGTGCTCTTTTCCAGGTCTGTGGCACCTCTCCTTTCTCTAAGATCTTTCAAAGATCAATAGCGGCTCAGTAGTATTTCTTTCAAGGCCCTTTTTACTTCCCTTGGGCTGGCTAACTAACTCAATGAGGGCAGTGTAGTGTCCTCTTACCATCTTCTCATTGGCCTGGAATTTCTACTCCTTGTTACCCAAATCTGATAGTTTTCCCAGTTCAAAAATCGTTTTTCTTAGACTATAATTTGTTCTCACTGTTGTCCATCCTTACTATCCCATCCCCCTGTAGCACTCATCACTAATTTGATCTTTTTGCAAAAGTGACTTTTTAAATAAATATATTTGAGTGTCTATAGCACTTGCAATTAGGCTCATTTCCTTCTGGCCTTAAAACCTTAACATTCTTAGAGAACTCTGTTATATTTTCGTATTTATTGCCAACTATTTTTCCTTCTATACATGTTTTTACCTACTGATCATTTGAAAATCTGTTCTGAGCATGCTTCTAGCATTCTTCTCTACCACAAGTTCCATGATGGAATGGCTACTTGCCCCTTAAAGTTCCTCTAATTTCTATGTCAGCTATCTCTTTCTTGGTTAAAATCAGATCCAGAACGGCAGTTCTGCATGTTGCTTCCTCTGCCTCTTGAAGGGTAAAAATTTCATTTCAGCGAGTCACACATTCATCAGTTGCTCTTCATTTGGCTTCAAGAGAATTCTAGCAGAGCCTGAAGTTAAAATTCCCTATCACCACAAAAGCATGTTTCCATGCCAGATTTTTGATCTCTTTCCCAAACTCCTATCAAAGTGATGCAGTATACCCCCCAATATTGCTTCTGTTTATTGTTCCTTTGATCCTTACCCAGCTGCTCTCCGTTGCTTCTATACCCATTATACTTTCATGAACATAATAATCTATACCTCTCTACTACTTTTAATCTCTGATTCTTTTGAATATAGCAGATTCTTCCATAGCTATATTCCAGCTAAGTTCCACCAGGTCAAATATGCATTCTTGCATTAAGAACTCACTCTTATTGCTGACATATTGTTCATTTGCATAGACATTTATGGCATTGGTCATTGCTGGTTCTCCACTTTTCTTCCTTTATTGTACCTACCTTTGTCGATGACAGTAATGTCAAATACAAATAGATTCCTACTGGGCTGAATGTTGCATTTTTATTTATTTTGTTAAATATTACCCAATTACATTTGACTCTGGTACAGGCTGCACAGGGAGCAATGTCTGACACTGCTCTATGATATCAGACTTGGTAAGCTCTACACAGACCATTTTCTCCCTCCCTCTCCCCTTTTCAGTTTCATTCCCCTTTGATTACATTTGCTAGGCTCCAGTCAAACATGTTTTAACCAGCCCAATTTGCAAGGTGCCTGCCACCACCTTTTCCTGGCCAGGAGCCCATCAGTCCCACATTGTAAGCTGTGTCACAGAAACCTATCCCCAGTTCAGTCACCCTCATCATAGATAACTACTCACTTCCTGAAGCCACTGTTCTCTTCTGACTTCCCAATCTTAAACAGGTTGTAGAACTAAAAATTTTTAGTCTCTAAAGTCTTCATTTTTTTGGCCTGGGATTTTGTATTCCATAGCAACGCTTTCTTCTGGGCTATAACACTTGTCCCTTTGTAAAGCACCAGAAGCGAATACTGTTCATCTGATTTCTCTTTCACATCCTAGAAACGTGCCCTGAAAGTGATACTTACATTTATAAATCACTTTCCTCACAAAGCTGTGATGTGGCATCATACATGTATCATCATATCAATTTTACATACTTGAAAATTGAGGCTAACTGAGGAGTTAAGAAACTTATACACGGTTGCAAAGCTAAAATGTCAAAGGCAAATCTTGAATCCAGATCTTACTCCAAGGATGCCTTCTACCCACTGAGCCATATTCTCGTTACTTTTAGTGCAGACAAAAAATAGCTGCCTTAGCAAAGGTATCTGCAGAAAGACATACAGTACATTTTGCAAGTCATTACAAAGTTCTTTTTGTTTCCCAAACTTGCAAGATTCACAATTCTTTGCCTTCTTTAAAAAGTAGATCTTTGTTAACCCTTGGGGCCACAGTTTCACATCTGTTTATTATGTTTTATTTGCTAAACTGAATGACTTCTCGGCACCTAATAAACTGCCCTGATGAATAGATATGTTGATTGGAATCATTCACTTATCTCCAAGACACCTCACCCATGCACCCATTTAACAATGTCCAACGATGAAGCTCTATACTTTGTGCTGTGATATCTATAAAGGTAGAAATAGGCTTTTCAAAATATCTTTGTGATTGTTCTTGTTGGGTTGGTTTATTTCAAATGAAAATGTAGCGTCCCTTTTGGGTAGCCCCTATGAAGAATGCTCCCACACGACAGTAATAGAAAAGTGTTCAATGTGTTTTTAAGTTGAGTGAAAAAAAAATATGTGACAAGAGTCCAAAGCAGGGACCTGCTTTAAGTCGAGCAGAAGGCGGCAGTGGAGGGATGAAAACGAAAAGGAGAGTAATAAGTAGGTAAGATAGAAAACTTTCATCACACAGACACCTTTTGGTAAGAACTTTATTTCTGAAAAAGGGAAAAAATTTAAAGTATTAAAATATTCCTTTAGTTATTTCTTTCGGGTAGGAGCAGAGAATAGGAGGGATAATAAACAATTCATATAAAATTCTTGGACACAGCTGCTGCAAAAACTGCCTCCCTCCTCTTTAGTGGGGATACCTACTCCTAAATGTTACAACTTGTAGTTTCCCTACTAGAGTTAACAAAATAAATCACTTGTAATTAATGCAGAGCCCTCTTGGTCAAAGGTGAGTAAGCAAGTATCTGGAACATTCATTTGACAAATAAATACAAAAAATAAAATTTCACAGGCTCAATAACTCAATCAATTTTTATCTGATTTTTCTAATGAAATGCTAAGAGGAATAAGTGTTTAAGAGCACTACATGTTTCTGGTAAAATCATGATAATGTCTGGAATGAAATTTTAAAAAACTATCAGGAAAATCAGGATACAGTACTGGAAAAAATGTCCAAAAGGAGTCTTTACCTCACTGAGGCAATAAAAAGAGGAAACCAACTTTCTACTTTCTTCTCTAAGGATCACCAGCACCATTTTGCATTATTTAAAGGAAATGAATTTGGGAAGGAGAAGGTACTATCTGCGGCAACTGTACTTTCTAACTGGCAAACTGGAGTATGTGGATTAGCAGATACATCTTTTCTTCTCTTGCACAGGTCAAAATAACCCAAAAAGCTTCCAGGTGTACCTCAAAACAGCAAAATAATCACCCGGGAATTGGAGACAAAGTCCTGTCTCATCACCAGAGTTTTAACAGTGAAACGATCTTGGAATGAGTCCCCTGTGTCTTACGGCATGCTCTCAGTTGGTGTTCCTTTGAGGGATAGGAAGGTTTTCATGAAGATATTTCAAAGTTCCATTCTCGGAGAAGTCAGATACAACATGGTCCCGTCCCCTAAGTAGCCACTTAGTAGTGAGTAATCCTTCAAGTCCTACTGGTCCCCGGGCATGGATTCGAGAAGTGCTGATTCCTACTTCTGCTCCTGAAAAAAAAATTACAATACCACTTAATGAATGAGCCCTCTTAGCTTTCACGAATCTCCTACCCACTCTAACCAGATCTGTCTATCCACTGTCAAGAATCTCAAGAACAGGTCTTCATTCATTCCTGTCTTCATACTTTTGTTGAGATGGTCCCCTCACCTCACTTCTACACTGAACCAATTACTCCTAACCGTCCTTCCAGGTAGGTCCCACTCAACTCTGGCTTGTTCATCACATTCTCTGACCATTCCAACACTTATTAAGTGCCTCCTTAAGTGTACACAGCCTCATGTTAGGCACAAGGGAAAACATAACGTTTAGATGGGGCACAGTCCCTGCCTTCACTGACCTTACAGAACAGTAGGGACACATGGCAAACACATGAACAAACACAATACATAGTAATCCATGCGAAGTCCCAAGTCTGAGGGATGGAAGCTTTGTGGAGAATGATGTTTTAGATGGATTGTAGAAGACATGCAGGAATTTCACAGATGGAAAAAGGAGGGAGGAGGTCCTCACAAGGCTGGGGAACAGTGTGAGCAAGGGAAGAGAGGTGAAGAGTGTGGGGCCATGCAGGGAGAATGATGGGCAGCAACTGTGGCTAAGGCATAGAGTAAAGTGAAACGTACGAGAATGGCAAGGCTGTGCCATATTGTGGAGGGCCCTGAATGCCAAGCTAAGGAGCTTGGTCTTTACTTAGCATCAGGAGACATCAGGAGGCATCGCAGAGTTTTGGGCAAAGGAGCTGCAACACTAAAACTATGTACAGAGACACAATATAGGAAGTGGCTTGAAGAATGTATTGAAAGAAGCATGGAAGGAGATGATTTCAAAGATCCATATGGGAAGCAGGGTGGGCCCATCCTAGGATGGTGACAGTAGAAATGGAAAAAATATTTTGGAGGTAGAAGGACTTGGTAACCGACTAGATGTAAGGGATGGATAAGAAGGTAACCTTAAGCTTTCAAGAATGGGTGAACAGTGGTGCCACAAACAGAAACAGTAGAGTCAGAAGGATGAGCAAATTTACAGGGAAAGACATTGAGATCAATTTGAGATATACAATTTGCAATGCCCGTGGGACATTCAGGTTAGACAAATATTGCAGTCAGTTAAAATAGTGGGTCTGGATTTCAGGAAGGATGTTAGGGCTAGAGATATAGATTTGGGAATGACCTCTGTAAAGGTGTTAGCTGAAGCCATAAGAGTGAATAAGATTATCTAGGGAGAAAGAGCCGAGAGAGAAAAAGAACTGAAGGCAGAACTCTGGGAAACACTCACATCTTTATGGGAAAACAAAAAAACAAAGAACCAGGAAGAATATAGACACACTAAAATATTCATAGTAGCACTTTCTGTAGTAGCAAAAAGCTGGAAAAAAACCCATCAACTGGGGAATAGCTAAACAAACAGTGGTATGTGGATACAACTGAATATGACTGCTGTAAGAAATGCTGGACATGAAGAATAAAAAGAAGCATTGGAAGAATTATATGCACTGATGTAAAGTGAAGTAATAAGAACCAGGAAAACAATATACACAATGACTGCAAAAAATATAAACAGAAAGAACCTCCAGCATCACCAATTAAAACTTAATGCTACAAAATTATAATGACTAAACATGGCCTGTGAGCAGACACCTTGCCTCACTCCTTTGCACAAGCGAGGGAACTATGGCTGTGGGACAGTGTATATAACAGCCTTCCTTCTCTTGTCCTTTTTTCTCCAAATGCTAAATTCTCACATCTTCAGAAAACAAAACCTTCTTGCAAGCTCTGAATGGCAGCATTCCTAACAACTCTCTCCCTTTTGTTCTTTCTTTTTAAAAGAATTTCTTAAAAACTCAAATTGAACATCCATATAGCTCCTTACCTTTGATCAGTGATATGCCTGTACTTAAGTCCACATGAGGGCACAGAACAGCTGTGCCCTCTCCACTGCAACCACAGTTGTTCTCTGTAGCTTCTCTTCCCTTCACTTTTACTCTTCTGTGGTGGCCAATTATTGAGCATTTGTTCCTTAGGGTCTTTTTTTTTTTTTACTTGGCATTATTTCATAAGGTTTTTTCCAGATTTCTTTATATGCCTCATACTTACTGAATTTAATTGCACGATAGCATATCATGACATTAATGTACCACAATCTATTTACCCTGTGGAACACACAGATTGCTTCCAGGTTTTTGTTTTTTTGCAATTACAAATAATACTGCTATAAAAATCTCGGTACAGCAAGTGCTTTTTTGTTATTTTGATAACATTTGGGGGTATACTCACAACAAGACTGTTGAACTAAAAGGTATGTAGATTAAAAGGTGATACTTCTACAAATGTTTCGTAAGGGTCACCAGATTAATTTCCAAAAAGATTATTCAAATTTGCAATTTCACCAGCAGTTAAAGGAGTATACCTGTATTCCCTAATCCTACCAGCACTGAGTTTTGCTGGTTTAAAATATTTTTGTCAATTTCATGCGTGCGGTGGTATTTTCATTTTTATCTTTTTGACTAGTTATTTATTGACAATTTAACAATGTTCTGTTTACAACCTTGACCATTTATCAATTGTGAACTTGGAGTTACCTTTGGGAATTCTTAGAAATTCCTTAATGTATTTTAGATGTCAAGTTTTTATTCTCTTATTTTGGGGAGGGGTATCCAGATCTGTGATTTCATTGGTGTAGAGAACTTTCAGTAAGGAAACTCCTTATTACGCAACTTTTATGTGGTCTTAGAAGTTAAGGAATTTGCCCAAGGTCACAGAGCCAGTCTATTTAAACCCAGGTCTTCTTGCATTCAAGACCAGCTTGCTTCTCATTATGCCATGCTATCTGTTTATTTGTCATACTGCCACAAATATTTTCTCCAAATCTGTTATTTTTTAGTTATGTTATTTTGCCGTATAGAAAATTGTTGCTGTGATGAAATAAATAACAAAGATGTCTACCCTGCCTCCAAATAACTGTAATGAAGAGAAAACAAAAATCATCTGCCCTCCACAACTGAGATGAAGCCCACTGTTCTGCTACAATTCACTGGGCTATGTGGCTTAAGGTACAGGTCTAAATCCATTTCCTGTTAAATTGTCAACCAATTTTCCCAGAATGCTTGTTAGGTAATGTATGTTTTCCTCAAGTTTAATGTTCTGCATGTTTATTAAACGCTATTTTAAAAATATGTTTGCTGGGTGATTTGGCATATATGTTCTATTCCATTGCTCTCATTCTCTATTTCTGACCCAGTTCCTAACAGTTTGTATTTTTGGGGGTTTTTTGGGTTCTTTTGAGGCAATCAGGGTTAAGCGACTTGCCCAGGACTTGCCCAGGGTCACACAGCTAGTAAGTGTCTGAGGCCGGATTTGAACTCAGGTCCTCCTGACTCCAAGGCCAGAGCTCGATCTACTGCGCCACCTAGCTGCCCAGGTCTGTGTTCTTTTTAGGCTTAAAAGGGAAGACCCTTTTCATCAGCCCTTTCCCCCAGCACATCCTTTGATGACATCTACATCTACTTGTTTCTCCCAATAAATTTCATTATTAGATCTAGTTTATAGAGAAGCCCCTCAAATTCAACCGGTGCTGCATTTTTGCTACATTGAACCTACCCAGCCACAGACATTTCACATCTCTTCAACTACTTAGGTCTTTGTTTCCATTCTTACAGTTTTAGAGTTGTTCTGTCTATTCCTGGGTAGACTAATCCCAATCCCCTCAAAATGTCTGACTGTCCAATATCATATCAAGTAGAAGCAGCAATCTTTTCATCTCTCTTGCCACTCTTCTTGTTCCATTTTCTCATTCTATTCAATGACCCTCTCCTACTGGATTAGTTGATCAAGTACCTTTAAGAGACCTCTCCCCGCCAGCAGGTGAACATCCTTCCCGTCCACCAGCACACTGCCTCATTGGCAAACAATGATTTATAATCACTAAACTGTGATTAAGCTCTGTTCTATTGTCTACTTTCGAAAAATGCAGTTTTCCTACCAAGCCCAAAGCGGTAGCCATCTGAGAAGCGGGTGCTAGCATTCCAGAACACACACGCACTGTCCACATGCTGAAGGAAGAACTCTGCTGTTTTCTCTGCCAGAGAAAGAAGAATCAGTCAAGACTGGGTTCACCACAAGATCATCTAATTCAGCACAACAGCCAATTCAGGCTTACGGGCAACTGAACCAAAGCAGAATGAACACATGCACCCCTAGGGAGTTTTGGGGGGCCTGCAGGTGTCACAGAATATGTAAGAACTAAGAAAGACTGACTTTGCTGAACTATAGCAACAGCAGCATTTCTCTGGCCCTCATATGGGCCTCATGGAGGGCTGTGTAATCATTCCCGGGCACACTTCAGCAAACAAACAACCCTCTTAATGAGTAAGTGGTCTTAGCCTTCCAAAGACAGACAGAAACCTGCTTTAGCAGTTAGTTTACTGTGAGAAAGGCTACAACAATGGGGTGGGTGGGAGCATCATATGTATACGAGCCTGTGGGGCTCACCCCTCAGAGCCTCTACCAACACTTTTTCTGATAAGATGTATACAATGTTTTGGGGTTGCTGGGTTATTTCTTTTTTACTCTGGGAGGCAGGAGAGGGAGAAGGCAGATCTAGATAGGCGAATCTGAAGGAGGAAACTCCTTTGAACAATGAGAAAAGGCACCTGCTCTGAAATGTAGAGTTGTGGAAAATAGCCTGGGGGCACTGAGAGGCTAAATAAGTCCACTGTGCAGTGTCCTACAGTCTGTGTGTGTGAAGAGACTAGACTTGAACCCAGGTCCTTCTTTATTAATCAGAAACTAGTACTCTGCTCACCATGCCATTTTCCTTCTAGTATCACTAATACTATTTTAAATCAGGAAAATGACATGTACAGGATAAAACAAAGGGCATATGAGACTTTAAGTGTCTTCGAAAAGAAAGACATTGCAGAAATAATAATAATTATCTGACATTTATATGGTATAATATAAAAAGTGACCATTTTCCTAAACACTATATATAGTGTTTATATATACATATATATACATACATACATACACATATATATATATATACACAGAGAGAGAGAAAGAGAGAGAGAGAGAGAGAGAGAGAGAGAGAGAGAGAGAGAGAGAGAGAGAGAGAGAGAGAGAGAGAGAGAGAACCTAATAGTTTGGTAAGTATAAACAGAAAGGCTATATCATGTACTGGCACAAGCATAGGAGCTCCTCATGACAGCCATGAAAGGATAAGGATGGGAAGCAACCAGCTGTGCTCAAGTAAAATGGCTGGAAGCTACCACACTGATCTCTGGACAGTCATCCATTAGTCATATCCCCTTTAAGACTTCTTACTGACCATTTTCTGTAACAATGACATCTGTGTGGGAGCTGCCATATTTGTGGATATGGTCAATGGCATCCTGTACATTGTCCACCACTTCAATACAACATTCTAGGTCTCCGTACTCTGTCCGAAGGGATTTAACCTCAGAAGGGCTGAAAGTCAAATAGGAAGCAAACTTGGGACCCGCGTGAATTTTCACCTAAACAAAAGAAAATACAGAGGGTAACCAAAAACAAAAGAAAGAAAGAAAGCCCACATTTTCTCTCTTAGATCTAAATCCAAGATATCCCAAGGCCCTTTCCCTTTAAGTTAATATTTATGACGACTGGTCAAATTACAGCATGAAATTCTCCACTCATGTAATTAATCCACCAAAACACCCTTCTATCTAGAGCTAACTTCTAGTCATCCAGGATGTGCTGACAGGCCAAAGACCAAATTCTTTTTCTCCTAAAGCAAAAGGTTCTAAGAGACCAGGGAGCAAGAACAATGATTACATTAAAGATCGAGGATTTTGGGTAGAAGTCAATAAATATTAAATGTCCACTCTATACAAGGCATTTATTAATGGATATGGCTTCATCGTAACTTAAATTCTTCTACTCTAACAGAATTTTAGTTAAATGAATACTTAGCTAAAAATCACAATTCTTTCCTAATATTGTTTTCTCTCTCAATTATCCTTTCTTTTTATTTTGAACTTAAATACCGAAAAAAGTATTTTCATATTGATAACAATAGGAAGATTACATATCAAACTAGAAATCTGTATTTTATACTGCTTTTTCTTTTCTTTCTCTTTTTTTGGTAAGACAATTGGGGTTAAGTGACTTGCCCAGGGTCACACAGCTAGTGATTGTTATGTGTCTGAGACCAGGTTTGAACTCAGGTCCTCCTGACTCCAGGGCCAGTGCTCTATCCATTGCACCACCTAGCTGCCTCTGCTTATTTTTAATTTTAATATAAATTTATTTATTTACTTAAATTCAATTTAATTAAACAAATAATTTAATTAATTAAATGTAATATTATTTAATTTAAATTTAAATATATTTTCAAAAAACGTCCTGCTCATCTGTGCTTCCTTCTGAACCTCCTTCTGTTCTCTTCTGTACATTAAAATAAAAAGTTTCAACAAGTCACTTTTTTTGGTGGCATCAGTATTGCTAACCCCTTTTCCCCACATTAAATATGTCCTAATTAAAAACTGAAAGAAAGAAAAAATCTTGTAACAAATAAGTATAGTCAAGAAAAACATATCACATAGTGGCTATATTCAGAAATGTATGTTTATTTCTGCATTCTGAGTCCATGATTTCTGTGTCAGAAGTGAGCAACATACTCATCACATGTCCCATGGCAGGTCACTGCACTGATCAGTTATTAAGCCTTCCAAAACTGTTTTCTTTTACAATATGGTGTTTATTTATAAAATGAATTCATTGACCTTGTGATGACTTCTGAGATAAGTGGAGACACCCCATGTATGGGAAAACCTGGATTAAAATCACTATGATAAAATGCAGCCTCTTATTTTGGGTTGGTCTATTTGAGATTCCAATAAATATTCAAGCAACATAATGTATTCAAACTTCAGGCACTGTGACCTAACACCAGAGCCTGGCACATAATGAATACTAATAAGTGTCTACTGACTGACTGATTATACTGTAGGATCTGTGGGCATACATGCATGAGCTCAAATACAAACACACATTCACTTGGCAAGTTTCTCTCTTTTGTGTCCAGGTTATTTTGTATGGTTGATAGACAGAGAAGGAATACAACAGAGCAGGCACCACCCTTTATGCCTCCACCACAACCCCCAACCTGCATGTCTTGATTGGTTCCTCCTTCTCCAGCAATAGACTAGAAAGGAAGAGTAAAGATAATCATGTAATCATGGATGTATGTCTGCACCGCTCCTCAGATTCACATGGTAAAACAGAGTACCTGCTACCTCGGGGGTGAGAGGAAAAACAATCCCAGTGATCTTCAGCCCGACAGCAGCCACAAATGGCCATTTGCTGATGACCTCACCTGTTCTACCCTCAGCATGTCAATGATCTGGTCAAACAATGGCGTTCTCAGTAGATCTCGGTGGATTAGCAGCGTTTCCAGTGCGTTACAAGCAGCTGGATATTCGCACTTGGAGTCTCTCACTGAAAGGAAAAGAATAGATAGGTGCTGAAATTAAGAGTTCTGAGAGGGGAAAAAATTCCCAATAAATGAAGTCTAACCTCTTCATCTTACCTAGTCTGGTGACCTTATCAACACTAGCCTCGGTGTCTACATACATGTGGCAGATTCCTTCACTGTGACCCATCACCGGTACTCCTTTGGCAGCTTTCTGAATGTCTCTGACCAGTTGAGAGGAGCCACGTGGAATGATCAGGTCAATCAGCTTATCTAGACGGCAAAGGTCCTCAACATCTTCTCTAGTATTCACCTGTGAGGACCGAGGAAGGAAACCTAGTCAGTTCCCCCTACACACTCTGTTCACCAAATACAATGTTAAGTGCTTAGTGAGCCAAGACAGCATTTCAGAAAAGATGATAGCCCTTGATCATTAGGAATCTAAAACCTTCACAAAAGAAGAATAATAGCTAATTGTACATGAGGGAAAGCAGAGATGTCAGCTGGCTCTCCTCTCAGAGTTCTATCTCCCTCCTCTACAGCTTCTGAGACCCTCCAATACCTCTTCCCTCACACGGCCTCCATGGCAATGCTCTCTGTTTCCCTCCTACTGGCCCAACCATTCCTTTTCAGTCCACTTTTCCAAATAATTTTCCTCTACCCACCACTCAGCATGGACATCCCCAAAGCTCTAACCCAGCCTAACTTGTCTTTTCTTTCTATACTCTGTCCTCAGTGATTTCATCAGCTCTCACAAATCAAGCATCATCCTATGTACATGACTCTCAGATTTCTCTCCTAAACTCCATTCCCATGTTGCCAACTGCATTTTCCACAAAATTATTGCTTTCCAAATTTTCCTATGTTGGGCACTGACATGTACAAGGCACCGTGGTAGGAAATGGGAACACAAAACATGAAAAATGAAATAGTGCCTGCCCTTACAGAGCTTCCATTTTACTGGACTCATGGTGGCAGTGAGAAAAGATGTACACAACTAAGTAAATACAAAGTATATGCAAAGCAGTTTCAAGAAGGATAAGGTGATAACAATTCCTGGGAGCTTGAGGAAAGCCTCCTGTCCCCAGTGGCCCTTCTGCCAAGCTCTCAAGGAAGCTCCAGAGTCAAAGAGGAGAGAGTATATGCAGAGCGTAAGCCAGATATGGGGGCCCCTGGGGAAGATGCTCCTCAGTGGGGGGATGCCACCACCCACAGGAAGACAAAGAAAGCCAATGCAAAGCAGAATGCTGAGAAGGGAGGAGTGCTATGAAATAAAAGCGGAGTGGTAGGAAGAGAGGAGCCCGATTGGGCAGGGTTTTCAATGCCACCATGGTCAAACATCTAGTAATAAGTACTAGGATTATAAAATTTAGAGAATAAAGCAGCAATCCTTACTTAAAGGCCATGAACTTGTTTTTTTGGAACATTCTGATATGTTTTTATTTGTTTTAAGTATTTAAAAACCTTATTCTGAGAGAGGGATGTGCCAAAGGGGTCCAGAACACAAAAAGGCTAAGAAATCCAGGCTTGGAGGGAGCTTAGACATCACTTAGCATCGGAATTCTAGCCTAACCTCATCATTTGATAGCTAAGGAAACAGACCCAAGGCCACAAAAATTGTCATAGGGCTGACCCAAGAATCAAACCTAGGTCTACTGTACCATGCTGACATTATTATTCTCACTTAAAAGATGAGAAAACTGAGACTAGGTCCCACAACATCAGCGTTACCACGAGATGGGGAAAGGAGTCAGAGTTGAGCCTGGTGATTGGAAACCTCCCTAGCACTGCATTCACTGCTGCCCCTGCCCTCATTCTCTTCAGGAGGCCAAAGCCCGGGCTACAGCCCTATCCCCTCCCATGCTCCATCACCTCCTCTCATCTTGGTCCCCTCTACCTCAGAGCTACTCGAGTCCCATACCCTAGAAACCTTCCTGAATTGTTGCCATTCTCCACAATCACTTCCTTTTCTTATGTAGCATGGCACATGCTGCCTACAGCACTCTCTTAGCAGCAGCCCAGTATAAGCGTTGCACATGGACTCAGGAAGACCTGAGTTCAAATCCCACCTCCACACCTTACTTCCTGTATGACTCTGAGCTGAGTCTGAAAACTCAGTCTGAGCTTTCTCATCTTTAAAATGGGGATAACAATCCCTACCTCACAGGTCTGCTGTGAGGTTCTAATGAGATAAAGTTTGTATCGAGCTCTGCAAAACCTTAAAGCGCTATTAAATGCTAGTTATTAAAATTTTTTAGCATAATGTGTTATTTTAAATTTATTTTTAGATATGTACCCCATTTACTTAATTAATTAGCCCCTTGAAGGAAAGGAAAATGCCTAAACCCTCTGTATCCTTGGTGTCTACCAAATCCTTATATGTGTGAAATCCGTATATCACTCAGTCAAGTTTGGTTTGAAGAAACAAAGCCTGGCTCCATGCATGCCTAAGCATCACTCTCATCCCTCCCTCCCCATTCATCTCCAATATGCCCCAGAATTTCTTTTGGTTGTTCCTTAATTCATATCTGCAAACCTACCAACTGCACCGCGTCCCTGACCCCATGGAGGGAGAGTGCCTCCTGAGTTAGATGATGCAGAATTCGGTTGCTGTGGGCTGCCTCTTTTCCTCCTTTCAGAAGCAAGCCATTGCCACTTGCGATAGCCAAGGCAGCCACCTAAAGATCAAAGATGGGACAAAAAGCAGAAGCTCAATATTATTCACGTAAATTGAAACAAGAATTCCCAAAGCTCCTCCTCCGTGTAAACAGTAACCTTCCCAGCACCACACCTAGGAGAGCTGGGAGGACAACCGTCACAGGAAACATCCCAAGGTAAATGACTAAGCTGCAATTTTACCAGGTGAGTGGTGCAGAGTCACCTGGACACATGTTTTTGTGAATCTTAGATAATCTGCCACAGTTTAATATGAATAAGTAGGAGAAGAGAGGATGGAACCTGCCAGTCCCTGGATAGCTTGAGCATCATTTCTTAGGTGAGGGACACTCCAGCCCACACTTGTGGAAATAGAGATTCCCCAGGCTAGACTTAAGGTTTAGCCATTCTGCTTAATGTTTTAATGACACCGGCCACAATGACGGTCAAGAGGAGGTGGTGTATCATAAGGGCGTCCAAAACATTCTGCGCTGATGGCTTCATGAACACCTCGAGATGAAGAATCACTTGCTGTGGTCGCTCAGTGTGAGCACAAGGACTTCTATAAAATAACTGCTTATCTGGGTAGAAAACAGCCTGGACACTGAATGGACCATGCAATGACCCAAGAAGAGACTTAGGACCTGAGCCCCACAGACAGGACTCCAACTAGCAGAGGATGCAAGATCCTTGAGAGGATGAGGGAGAAGAGTGGATTTCACTGCAATGACTGAAAGAGTCTCAGTAGTACAGGATACATCTGTGGATGAACTGGTGACCTTTTAAAGATCTTGCAGAATAGAAGAGCTGCCAAAGGACTAGAAATAGACCAATCTTAAAAAAAAGGAAGCAAGTAAAATGTGTAAAGCAGAGGTTGGTGAGTTTGACTTCTATTCCTGGCAACATTTTAGTGTACAATATTAAAGGAATGGTTCATGAGCAGATAACAACGGAAACATCGATAAAACAGCACATGGCTTCATTAAAACTGATTATACCACGTTAGTCTCATTTCGTTTTCTGACAGAATAACCAGACTGGTAAATCAAGGAATGCTGTAAAAATAGACTTAGTGTTTATGAAATCATCTGATGAAAGCTCTTATGCTATCTCTGTAACATGGAAAGATCTGGGCTAGATGGCAATAAAATTAGATGGATTTAGAACCAGATAAATGATCATCTCTGAAGAATAGTCATTAATGGGTCAATGTCAGTTTGGAGGGCTGGTCTTTAGTGGAGTGCCTCAGGGATCTGTACTTGGCCCTGTGCCTGTTAACCCAAGTTATTTGGGTAAATCTATAAAGTCTTGGTTGCCAAGTTAGCACATTTATATAACTCTGGAACAGTTAACATGCTGGACAGCAGCTGAACATCCAAAATAACTTGGCAAGCTAGAAAAATGGACCACACCTAATAAAATCAAAGATAAAGTCATATGCTTGGATGTAAAAATTCGACTTCACAAATATAAGACAGGAAGGTATAACTACACAAACACACACTATGGAGAAGATGTGAGAATTTTAATGAGAAATGGCAAAAAAAAGCTAAAGCTATCCTAGACTTCACTGAGAGGAAGAGTGACCAAAACAAAGGAAATGGCAGTTCCCCAGGACTCTACTTTCACTGGACCACATCTGGAGAACTAGGTCCAGTTTTGGGCACCACATTTTAAGAAGAACATAGACTGGCTGCAGAAAATCTTGGATAATTAAGGGAACTGGAACTAGAACCTGGACAAGAAACACTTGTGGGCAGAGAGTATGACAGAGGGGTAGAGACATGATGCTAATCTTCACCATGTGAAGGGCAGGCTGTCAGGCAGAAAAGGAATCCTACCTGATCCCCGAGGACAATGGGTACAAGCTGAAGGGGTAGATTTAGGCATGATTCAGGCACAATTTCCTAACCATTTAAAGTATCCTAAAACAGCTCAAGTAGTCTAGGATGGTAATGGATTCCTCCTCACTGCAATTCTTCAGTAATAACTAACTGGATGATCACTTATCAAGAATAATGTTGAGAGGATTTTAGTGAGACCCTATAGCTAGACTAGCTGATCTCTGATATCCCTTCCATCTCAGAAATTCTATGACATAACATTAGGAATATCACTTGGGGGCTCTGTGGGATGTTGCAGTATGGTGGTTGTCCTTTTATCTCATAGTAATTAAGCTTTCTTTTGCTATCTTGTGGCTAGAATACTTACACAGGAGTTGCTATCAGGGTACTGGGCTGTGCAATAGAGATTCTTTCCCTGGAGGGCTTAAGCTAACAGAAGCAGAGCATGCCTTTAAGATTACTTGGCCCTTCCTGAAGTAAATGTCTCTATCATTAGGATTACATGAACACTATTGACAATTGGTATGACCCTGAAATCTATTCAGGTAATCCACGTTCCATGTTTTTATCCATTTATTGAAGCTCTTTTAAACACAAGTTCTACGTCTAGCCAGGCATTTTGTGTTAATTAAAAAGGTCCCTTTGTCAGAATGGCCACCATCAGGTCTAAAAATCAGGGGCACTGAAATACTAAAGACTGAATGGGTCAGGAAAGTTAAGCACTAAACTGTATAACAATGTTTTGTATTTTACTCTGTGACCTCAGGAGACTACTTCCCTTCTAGCTCTCCACCAATTAGTACATGGGATAGGTACCAAGTCAAGAAACATAACAGAAATCAAAGTGACTAAGGAAGATCTGAGAATAAAATCTTGAAAAGCCTCTTCTGAGGAAATCAGTGTCAAATCTTGAAAATGCTTGGGTCAAATCCCAGCAAACAGGGTGTTGCTGCTCCATACCTGGGGAAGACAATCAGGGCGGGATTCAAAAATCACCAGAAGGACTCCAATTGGGACAGTAACTTGCTCTAGTTCCAAATCTTTCGCAATTCTTGTCCTGCGCAAGACACGCCCAACACTGTCCTGGGAAGAAGCAGCAATCTGACGTAATCCAATGGCCAAACTATTCAATTTAGATGTAGACAAGCTCAATCGTTTTAGCAGAGGGGATGCTAGTCTCCCTGGAATAAGAGAACAGTAAGTGTGGAAGGTTAATAATAAATTGGCAAACTTCTAAATACAGTATTTCCAATCGCAAACTAAAAGTTATTAACAGTTAATTATGGAATGTGAAAATTTACAGCTCTACAATTTAATTAAAATTTTGTTCCTAAGTCAATTTTGTTTCCCTTTGTGATTTTAGAATTGCCAAGGCAGGGACTGAGTGGGAAACATTCACCAAAACACAGTCATTCAACCCCCTTTTGCCTTTGCTTGTTTTGCATCTTTGCTATCATAGGCAGATACACTGGAAGGACCCAAGGCATTCATCAGCCTCACTCAATAGTCCATTCAATCCTAGGATACATCAAGCCCCCATTTTCCCTTGCCTCTCACCAGCCATTAGATAAAAACAACCAAAACATCAAAATCCCACCATTCTATGGCAGCTTTTGATGAGTTAATTCAGCTATGTTAGCAATACAACCTAGAATTTGCACCTATTCAATTCTTCCAATAATTTAGAATTTCTAGAATGTGACAGGCTTAAGAACATACTTCAGTTTAAGAAATAAAAATTAAGTTGTTACTGGGAGCAGTACCTGTATTGAGGTATTGTAAAATTTAATTAAAATGAAATTTCTGACCTCTGGCAGCTTTCAGACTCGTGGGACAATAAGACATAGAAGCAGATACTACAGTGCATAGCCAGTGTGTTAGAGAGGGCAAAATCAAATACTGAAGGATGTCATGGGGCACAGTTGTTAGCAACACATACTGAATATCAAAGAAACCTTCCTGGATGAAGTGGCTTGACCTCATCACTGACTTAGGCTTTTAGGGTCAAGTAGGAATCAAATGGCAGGAAGAGGAAGGACAACATGCTAGACACAGGGAAGAGCACAGAGAGAACATGGCATATTCACAGAATCACAAAAAACCCTATATTGGAAAGAACCACAAAGGCCCTCTAGGTCAGTCTACACATGAATGAGGTTCCCCTGGACAAGGCACCAGACGGACTTCTTTTAGATCTCCAGTGGGGCTGGAGAAGACCTATAATTCCTCCCAAGGCAGCTCATCCCATGTTTGCATAGTTCCAAGGGTTATGAAAATTTTCCTGACATTGAGCTTCAATTGGCCTCTTTGTTAGATCCGCCCACTGTTCCTAATTCTGACGTCCAGTGGGGAATGATCAGGACACAGAGGCTGGTCTGACTAGAGCACAGAATAAATGACAGGGGAGTGGGGGGGGGAGGGGAAGGGGAGAGTTGTAAAATAAGACAAAGCTGGAAAAGAAAGGAGCAGGAAATCAGGTTAAGAAAGATGCCACCCCTCAGACTCCTGGCTTAGTGCCAAGAAAGGCAAATTTCTCCATAAAATATTGCTGATTTGGGTGCAAACAGAACTTGAAGAAAGCAACCCTGCATTGTTCTGAAAACATGAAAGTGGAAGGGTTGCATACGGCTGGACTTGGCCATTTACTGCTACTATGATCATATCACCTGAACGCTTACATCTGAGGCTCCTCATCTGTAAAATGAGGAGTTGTACTAGACGGCCTAAGATCCTTGATGGCTACAAATCTACGATCCCATGAAAATACAACATTTCTGTACATAAAAGCAAAAATACAAACAATTTAGTAATTCTTCTTGAGAAACACTCCTCAGTAAAAAGGAGGGGATATTTGCAAAAAATCATGGTAAAAATGTTTCCATTGTAATGGGAGGTTAAGAGATTAGACTTTACTGAAAACTTCATCCTCTATTATTTTTGGCTAGGCAATAGGGTTAAGTGACTTGCCCATGGTCACATAGCTAGAAAGTGTGATGTGTCTGAGGCTGGATTTGAACTCAGGTCCTCCTGACTCCAGGGCTGGTGCTCTATCCACTGTGCCCCCTAGCTGCCCCTCTATTATTTTTAATACTAAATTCTATCCTCTTTACTGACCTTATTCTGGATCAGTACAACTGTAGGCAAATACACTCATTAAAGTAAATAATACTGGCCAATACATATATAGAATAGAAACTCAGGTCTCCTGATTATTCCACTTGACAAGATGAAAAAAGTTGAATAAAACACACCACACATACACCTGGTGTAAGGATCACCGCACTTAAGTGCTCAGCCAACTTTGTGGGCTCCATCTCAAGGTTCATAAAGCACACTCTCTGCAACTGTTATCAGTGTAGGTTACGTTGCAGCGACACCTGCTGGCTACACAGAGCACTGCACTGTCAAACACTGCTGAGAAAAAGTCTGTGAGACAGGAGTCAGATGCCCAGAATCTCTGCTCTATACAAGAAACCCACAAACTCAGTAAGTGTAAGATTACGTTTTCTACTCAGTTCTATGGTTTATCTTATACTTTTTCTTAGGGGATATTTTAAAATTTTTATTTTGATGTACTTTCCAAACATTTCACAAGATGAAATCTGATTAAAATCTAAGAAAACTAAAGGCAGGAAAGTGAAGAATACAAACAGTAGCTGGTGTCTCAACCATATTTTCAAATCCAAAAATACTAATAAAACAATGACTACACTCCACTTAAATAGCCATTATTAGCCTTATTTTGTTGAACCTCTAACTTTTTGTCCAGGTTCTGCCCGATGCATTTCCTCCTTGAACAGGAAAGGTTTAATGACTCTAAATTGCCATGATGTATACAGACCAGAAAATCCAAAGCTGACTCAGGTGCAGTGTGGTCCCACTCCCCCAGCTGGACTCTCTTTGCCACTTTCTTGAGGAAGCCTTCCGCCACACCCCTAGGAAGGTGAGGCAACATCCCCTTCCAAAGTCTGTGCCCCGGGGTTTCTAACTTTTCCCCCTTCATTAGCCTTGTCCTGTCTACTATGGCAGGAAGTACAGCAAGACACAATATCCAACCACTTTACTACATACTAGGGATTTTCTCCAAAACTAAAAAGTTTCTTCCAAGTTGGCGCTGTTCCACTCCCCTTAGAATCTGTTTGGCTCCTCCTCTAGTCCTGCTCCTTGGGGTTCCCATCCTTTCTTAGCACCTTCCCCTACCATCCACTCCATCCAAAGGTCTGTCTCTGTGTCAGTCAGTCAACAAGTACTGCTTGCTATGTGCTAGACACTGTGCTAAGCAATGAGGATACAAGGAAAAGGCAAAACCAATCTTTGCCCTCCAGGAGCTTACGTTCTAATGGGAGGAAACAAGAAGTACATAAAAAAGTACATACAAGATACATATAGACTAGATGGAAGACAGATTTAAAGGGGAAGGCACCGGCACTTTTTAAAGGAAGTTCTATCTTAAAGGAAGCCAGAGATTCCGAGAGGCAGGAATTAGGAGGGAGAGCATTCCAGCCTTGGGGGACACCTACTGCAAAGGCATGAAGAAAAGAGAGAGAGCTCTACGAATGAAGAACAGCCAGCATGGCTGGACTGAAGAGTACATGGAAGGTAGTAGTGTTAAAAGACTGGAAATATAGGAAAGGATCACATCGTGCAGAGCTTTCAAGGCCATACAGAAGAATTTCTATTTGATCAAGGGATAATAGGGAGGAAAAGAAGGAAAGTGAAAGGGAAAGATATACCCAATTGAATGCAAAATTTCAGAGAACAGCAAGGAGAGAGAAGGTTTTCTTAAATAAGCAATGCAAAGAAATAGAAGAAAACAATAGAAATAGGAAAATTGGAGACATCCAGGGAGTGTTTCCTGCTAGAATGGGTATGATAAACGACAAAAAGAGATTAACCAGAAGAGGTTAACAGGTAGCAAGAATGCAACAAAGAACTATACAAAAAAAGAACTTAACATCACAGATATGTGTGGTTACTGATCTAGAGCAGAACATCCTAGACAATGAAGTCAAGTGGGCCTTAGGAAGCACTTTTAACAATAAGGCCAGTAGGGGGCAGCTAGGTGGCGCAGTGGATGGAACTTGGAGTCAGGAGGACCAAAGTTCAAATCTGGCCTCAGACACCTGACACTTACTAGCTGTGTGACCCCGGGTCACAAATCATTTGACCCCGATTGCCTCACCAAAAAAAGCAAAAAAGCACAAAAAACAATAAGGCTAGTGATGCCGTTAAAGTACTGTACTTAATATGCTAGCAAATTTGGAAGATTTAACAGTGGCCACTAGATTTGGAAAAGGTCAGCTTATGTCCCAATCCTAAAGGGTTAAGAGTAATGCCAAAGAATATTCGAAAAACCAGACAACTGCCCTCATTTCACACACTAGCAGATTATACTTAAGATCCTGCAACCTAGGCTTCAACAACCTGTGAACTGAGAATGATCATAAGAACAGGCTGTTTTTCAAACAGGCAAAAGAACTAGAGACCAATTGTCAACATTCACTGGATTATGGAGAAAACAAGGGAGCTCCAGAAAAACATCTATTTCTGCTTGTCTACACTAAAGCCTTCAACTGCGTGGATCATAACAAAATGTGGTAAGTCCTTAAAGAGAAGGGAGCACCAGATCATCTTACCTGTCTCCTGAGGAACCCGTGTGGGGGCCAAGAAGCAACGGTTAGAATCAAACACGAAACAACTGACTAGTTTAAGATTATGCATCATAAGAAAAGCCATCATGTGAATATATACATCTTACGTATATACATCATGTAAAATGGATGAATCAAAAGCCAGAATTAAGTCTGCAGAGAGAAATATCAACAATCTGATAGGCAGATGATACCACTCTAATGGCAGAAAGTGAAGAGGAAATAAGAAGTCTCTATGAGAGTGAAAAAGGACAGTATAAAAGTTGGCTTGAAGCTTAACACTGAAATATCTAAGATCTTGGCAACTGGTCCCATCACTTGCTGGCAAACAGAGAGAGAAGAAATGGAAGCAATGTCAGATTTTATATTCTTGCGCTCCAAGATCACTGCAGACGGTGAGTGCAGCCATGAAGTTATAAGACACTTGCTCCTTGGAAGGAAAACCATGGCAAATCTGATTGTCGTTCAGTTGTGCCTGACTCTTCATGACCCCATTTGGGGTTTTCTTGGCAAAGACACTAGAGTAGTTTGTTATTTCTTTCTCCAGCTCATTTTGTAGATGAGGAAGCAGAGACAAACAGGGTTAAGTGACTTGCCCATGGTCACACAGCTATTAAGTGTCTGAGGCTGGATTTGAACTCAGTAATTCTTCCTGACTGGCCCAGAGCTCTATCCACTGTGCCACCAAGCTGCCAGAATGGCAAATCTGGACAGCATACTAAAAAGCAGGGACATTATCTTGCCAACAAAGGTTCATTATGGTCAAAACTACGGTTTTTCAAGTAGCACATGTAGAGTGGTAAAGGTTGGACTACAAGGAAAGCTGAACTCTGCATGATTGAAACTTTCAAATTGTGGTATTGGAAAAGACTTGTAGTCTTCTAGACAGCAAGGAAATCAAATTGGTCAATACTTAAAAAGAAATTAACTCAATTCCAGATTGCTCTCCAAAATGATTAGATCAGTTCACAGTTCCACCAACAATGAATTAGTGAACCAATTTTTTTCATATCCCCTCCAATATTTGTCACTTTTCCCTTCGATCATTTTAGCCAATCTGATGGGTATAAAATGACACCTTTGACTTTGACCCAGCAATACCACTACTAGGTCTATTTCCAAAGATTATTAGGGAGAAAAGAAAAGAACCTATATGTTCTAAAATATTTATAGCAGTTCTCTCTGTGGTGGCAAAGAACTGGAAATTGCAGGGATGCTTGTCAATTGTGGAAAGGCTGAACAAATTGTGGTATATGATCATGATGAATACTACCGTGCTATAAGAAATAATGAGCTCAATGATTTTAGAAAGACATGGATAGATTTGTACAAAATAATAAAGAGTAAAACGAGCAGAACTAAGAGAACATTGTATACAATAACAGCAATACTGTTTTAAGAACAACTTTGAGCAAGTAAGTCATTTTGACTATTACAAATACCCAAATTAACTACAAAGGACATATAAAAGAAGTCATTATGTGCATTCAGAAAAAGAACTGAAGTATATATAGAATGATTTTACATACACACACACACACACACACACACACACACATATTTGTGTCTAATGGTAGCCATCTCGGGGTGTGGGGAAGAAAAAAAGCTAAAACAAAAAAAGAAATGTGCATGATAACTTTATTATATATTTAAAAGGTACAAGCTATACTTAATATATTTGCAGTCTCTTGTGCAATCAACTTATTTTTAATTACACTATGTTATGGAAATATGTTTTACTGCAGAAATTAAAAATAAAATTAAAAAAATTAACTCAGACTATCCACTGGAAAGTCAAAAACTGAAGCTGAAGCTTAAATACTTTGGCCACATAATGGGAAGATGGGACTCAGCGGAAAAGACTGCTGTTGAGAGAGACTGAAGGCAAAAGGAAGAAAGGACAGCAGAAGATAAGATGGACAAACAGCGTCATGGAAGCAACGACTGCGAGCTTGGACAGACTTTGACAGATACAAGAGGGCAGAAGGGCCCGGCATGCTATGGTCCATGGGGTCATGAAGAGTTGGACGCCACCAAACAAAAGAACAACAAAACAGGAAGCCACTGGTGTTTAACGAGTTGGAGTGGGAGATGATCAGACCTATGTCTTAGAAAAATCACTTTGTTTTGGCAGCAGCATAGGGAGAAAACTAGGCAGAAAAGATCAATTAAAAGACTAATGCTGAAGTGAGAAATGATGAGGGCCTGAATTTGAGTAGTGTAGCAAAAAGAGGAAAGTTCTGAAAGACGCAGAAAAAGGAATTACAAAATTTGGCAATGGATTAGAAACATGGGATGAGCCAGTGAGAGGAAGCCAAGAGGATGATGAGGTTGTGAACCCGTGGGACCAGAAGGACAGCGATACTCTCAATGCTAACAGGGAGATTGGGAAAAAGTGAGTTTTGAGGGAAAGAGAATGATTTCTGTTTTCAATATGCCTGGTTTGAAATGCCTGTGGGACATCTAGCTTGAGGCAACCAACGACAGGTGGTGATATGATGATGCAGCTCAAGAGAGAGGCCAGGGCTAGAGAAACAGATATGGGAAACATGTGCACAGAGATAACTGAACCTATGGGAGCTAGTGAGGTCACCAAGTGAAACAGCACAGGAAAAGAGAGGAGGGCTTGGACCAAGCCTTGGGGGGTGATGTGAATGATGACTGAGCAGACAAGATTGTGGAGTGCTCAGAGAGGTGGGAGGAGGATCCAGAGAGAACAGTCACGGAAACCCACAGAGGAGCGAGCAGCCATGAGAAGGCGGTCCAGTGTCAAATGCCACAGAGGGAAAGAAGGCCAAGTCATTTAAGTCCGAGCTTTGGTTTCCTGACCTACAAAAAGGGACACAAATAACTAAAATACCTGTTTCGGGGCTGTTGTGAGAATCAAACCAGATAACTTGTATTAGTTTTCACAAACACTGAAGTGTTCCAGTACAGCTGTCAGCTAAGTTCCAGTGTTCTTTGCACAGCCATGCTGTTAACTCCCACTTACCAGTAACACCCTGCTAGACAACAGCCTTCTCCTTCCTTCTGTGTACACTGTACTCCAGTCAGCTCTCCTAAGACTCTCACCTCAATGAGCATACCCACGAGTCTTCCAAATCTCAGGTCCACAACTCACTAACCTCAGACCACAGAGCAGTCTCTTAACCTATCTGTAACTGAGGGGATCAGGCTCACTGACTGGGAAGGGCTTCTAGCTCTAAAATCTGTCACTACTAAAGAGATTCAAAAGAATGACCTACAGATCTGAATAAAATAGGAGCTCCAGATATTCTGAGAACTAGCCTCCTTCCTCGAGTAACAATCCTCAACTGGTGTTTGTTTTTACAGAAAGGCTGGCTATTAACAAAAGCAATCATTACTCTATAGTCACACCTCATGAAGATCCAGAAGAGGGAGAATGATAGGGAGATGCCTACTTGGCTGTGGACAATGTATAGCCACCTATCAAGCGGAACCTAGGCTGTTATTATTTCATAGATCAGAGGGGTCAAACATGCAGCCTGCAACACTCCCACATGAGGACCAAATCAGATTAAAATGTAATTGGGAAATATTTAACAAAATAAATGAAAATACAACATAGATAATGTTAAGATGTGGTTTTCTAAATCAGCATGTAGCCTGCAGAGATCCTTATGTACAGTTTAATTCCCCTTGTTTCTATATGAGTTTGACACTACTATCATAAACTACCTTGTATGGAACTGCAAAAAGCCCTACAGGTATTCAACATTTATCAGCTGACAAAAGGACAGGTTATAGTAACCTATGACTGTGTTCACCAATTCTACAAAGCTTTCAACATAGGTCTTCTTCTAAACAGACAGAAATACTAATGTAGTGTTTCTTGAAAAAGGTTTTTTTTTCCTTTATTTTAGAATGATTTCTACCATAACAGACTTGCCTTTCTTGAAAAGAACAACAATGGGGTGGGGGGAGGGGGAGAGGCAATACATCTCCTAAGCAACAGATTTTCAGATCATGGGCTTACCTTTACCCTCTGCCTCTTCCATGTCTTTCTTGTTGGCCAACAGGATCTCTTCCCGCTGGTCAGTCAGGAGATCAGCCAGACGGTATATAATCTCAGCTCTCTGGAGAGAAAGGCAAGAGTTTGAGAGTTGGAAACAAACGCAAAGTACCTTAAGTGAGACAAAGAATGCACCACTCACATTACCAATAAGATACCCTACTCCTAAAGTGACATTTCAATAGTCTTTGGCAACAATCTCCTAATGTCATTCATTTTTTTCTTCCTGTTTTCTCATTTTTTACCTCTCCTCAATTGTTCTTCCCTTATTCCTTTACATTGCTTTCCCTCTCTTTATTAAATATTTATTGAGCAATTACAACAAATGTAGGCCATACAAATCACACAAATGCCATACCTAAGCCTAGAGTCTACATAACTTGCACGAAACACGTCTCATTAAAAAGTCCAGCTAGCTCTCTACCCACTAGATCACACTTTCCATAATAGCCAATCTCTATACCAAGCTTTAAGCTTTGCAAAGTACTTTATAAATTCTCATTTGACCCTCACAATAACCCTTTAAAGTGAGTGCTATTATTAACCCCAATTTAAAAACGAGACAACTGAAGCTCAGAGAATTAATAAATTTAACCCAACTAATAAAGAGCTGAGTTGGAAATCAAGCCCAGGTCTTCCCAATCCCAAGTCAATACACTAGCTACAAAGCTGTTCTTTCTCTCATACATATTGTCAGTAATAACAAAAATACCGATTTTTAAATAGATTTGGCTTCTAGATTTTTATTTTGACCATTCTTATTTAGTAGACTTTGATAGTAGAGAAAGATAGAAGTCCTCACCCATGCTGATTCTATAGATCCAGATGAGAACTTTAGCCCATCCCATAGTGAGAAGGCACCGTCCTCCTCTGCTCTTTCTCCTGCTTCCATTTGTCATCCAAACCCTCATTCCCTTCCCCAGGCTACAGCATTCATCTTGAGTGACTGAAACATACTAGCCCTCAAGGCTTTATCTGATGGTCTCTTAGAAGGCAACTCAGTCCTTCTTAGACCTCCTTATCGTCCCTAATGTCATCGGGTTACACCGTGCCAGCTTCCAGCAGGCTCCATCTTACATGGCACTTAGTAGGCCATTAATAACTATTTGCCAATTGACTGACTGAACTTGGGGGAAGGCCAATGTGTTTTCTGCTGGGGAACAGACAATTTTCTGCATAGTCTACAGTGACAGCAAGTAAATATCCAAGCTAAATGGAGTATCCCAATTTTCTAATTTCCCCTTATGCATTCATTCCCCAAAACTTAATGACTAAATTATAGAAAGAACATTATGCTTCTATCTTTAAAGGAAAATAGTACAAGGACAGCTGAGGGAAAAAAAAAAGGGAAGGCCTCAGGGCAAAGCCAAGAAAGGGTGAGGGCCTGGACATGTCAGTGGTACAGGCAACATCCATAGGAGGATATATCTTCTACCAATGCAGATCAGCATCTCCTCTGGTACCTATAGTCTGAGGCGAGTTACATACATCACTGAGAGGTTAAGTGACTTGCTCAGCATCACAAAGTCAACATTCCTTAGAGGCAGGACTTTTCTGAGGCCAGCCCTCTATCCACTATGCCCTGCTAGTCCTCTTAAGACATAAACCAAGAAAGGCAAACCAAGATCAAAACTATAAAGTTGGAAACAGTAAGACGGCATTAAGGAGAAATATGGAGTTGGCTGAAAAGCCACAGGCTAAATGAAGAGCGAACTGGAAAGGCAAAGTCTGCTCGTGTCCCTGTTTCTCTAGAAACAACATGGAAAACTCAACTCACCTGCTCAGGCATCAAAGTGGCCAAAGTCCTTCCTCCAGATCGAGCCATCTCCCCCTGCTGTTCAACGGTAGGACCTGCAAACAAGTTGGAAAGACATGGTCATCTCTGGGTTAGCATTCTTTCCAATGGTCTTGATACTTGGACAGTGAAGGGCAACTTCTTTTCATGTGGCATCCCAGGATCAGTATAATCTACTTTCTGGGAAGAGGGAATAATAGATGAATGCAACAATTAAAATAAACTCTGCTATAAACTCCCAGGAGCTAATTGGATTTGACATACAATTTGTGCCTCTATTTCCCACAGAATATGTATTTATCTAGGAACTCATTTTCTGAAATCAGGAGCTTTATTCTTCTCACAGTTACCTGGGGAGAACAGGAAGTACTGCTGAGCAGAGCAAAGCAGAAGAAGGAACCACAAAGGACTACTGACATGTAGTGGGCTGGAAAAAAAGTATGCAGACTGAAAATTTACTGAGGCATCTAACTCTGCCAGCAGTTTCAGAAACTGCTCATAAATTGTTTAATATTTTTAAAAATCAAGTAAATTCATCAAATTCCTCTTTTCTGGGCTCTTGGTCTATTCAGGTGGATGTCAGCTATTTACTCACAAGCTATGTGATCTCACAAATTTCCACTTACCTGCAGGTTTCACCTCTGAAAAGAAAGTGCCAACTTTTTTCCCCTCAACAATGTCTGTAATGACATGGCCTGAGACCTTCGGATGGGTTCCATTAGCAATCACAACAGAGGTTCCGCCCTGGAGAGCCCAGAGGGCAGCCTTCACCTAATAGAAGAAATATCCAGATAACAGATCCAGAACTTGTCAGCCAACCAACCTGCAATCTTTGGCACTAACTGGATGCCGTGGAGACACAAAACAAATCCTTATTTAAAGAATTCACAACTTGAGAGTCAGACATGTACTCCTGGATACACATATAAAATATTGTGGAAAAAAAAAGGCTTAACAACACTTACATAGAAATATATAAGCAAGTTAAAATTAATATGGTACAAATCATATAATGGACTATGAACTGAGCTAAGGGAAAATTTTCCCAGCCGAGATTTGAACGTAGGTTATGATTTACAATTTTATGAAAAAGTGACTTTATTACCCCAGGAAGGGGTCTTCTCAGGAAGAACTTTAAGTAACAAACAGGGAAGTTTCTACTGGATCATAAAGGTTAAGAGAGAGCCACTAGGATCTACTGAGCAGGGTAGGGGAGAGGGGGCATGTGTGTGAGACTGTATGTTACATGTCTAGATTCTGACTTTAGGAAAGAACCACTTTAGTGGCCGCATGAAGGACGAATTGGAATGAGGATAGTCCCAAGACAGAGAACGTGAGTAGACAACTATTGCAATAACTCAGGTGACAAGTGATGAGGGCTAGAAATAAGGGAGCCACTGTATAAGTAGATAATGATGGATCTGAGAGCTGCTGTGGAGGCAGAAACAATAACTGGTCAACAATTGGCTATGCAGGGTGAGAATAAAGTGTGCATGAAGACACTGAGGTTGTTAGTGTGAGCATCTGGAAGGATGGTTGTGCCCTGGACAGTTATAGGAAAATTCAGAAGAGACGTGAGTTAAATGGGAAAGAGAATGGGTTTTATTATGGACAAGCTGAGTCTGAGACGTCTATCATGGGACACTGAGTCTTTAATGTTCAAAACGCAGTTGGTGACGTAGGACTTGGGAGAGAAACTAGGGCTGCCTGTACAGATTTGGGTATCATGTGCCCAGAGATAACCACTGAATCCAAGGGAGATGATGATGTCAAGTGAGAGTATACAAAGTAAAGAGAGAGGCTTAAGGTAGATCATGTTAGTGCATGTGACACGAATTATTATCTAGCAAAGGAGGCTGAGAAGGAGCAATCAGGTTAAGAGGCAGAATCACCAAAACCCAGAGAACAGAGAGTTTCCAGGAGAAAGTTGGTCAATGGAGTCAAGTGCTACAGAAAGATCAAGTATAAGGAGTTAGGGTCAGCTAGGTGGCACAGTGAATAAAGCTCTGGCCTTGGAGTCAGGAGGACCTGAGTTCAAATCCAGCTTCAGACACTTAACACTTACCAGCTGTGTGTGACCCTGAGCAAGTCACTTAACCCCGATTGCCCCACCAAAAAGAAAAAAAAAGAAAAAAGAAGTATAAGGAGTGAAAAGAGGTCAGTAGATTTGACAATTAAGAGATCACTGGTAATTTGGGAAGGAGTAATTTAGTTGAGTCATGAGGTCAGAACCAATACTGCAAAAGGTTTAGAAGCAGCAGGAAGCAGTATCTGAGAAGTATATTTTTGAATGTATCGTTTACTTGACAGTATTATTTGGTAATTTTTAGATCTCCATAAGTAAAATGGACTACAGAGATAGCTTCTCTTTTCTGGATAAAATGCAGAAAATTTAAAATACCACAAATTGTGATGATCATCTCATTAACTTAATGAAGTAACTCCTCTTGCTATGAAAAACAGTACATGGTGAAAACTCAGGGAGTAGTCTGTCTTTAAGATTCTTAAAAAGACAGCTGGAGGATCCTATATAAAACATTCATAAAAGTGATTTAAGACATTACACATTTTAAAGTGATTTAAAACAATCTTATTTGATAATTTAACAACAGCCAGTTCTCTTCCTACCTTGGCCTCCATGCCACCCAGCCCCACTCTAGACTTGGTTCCAAATGTCACAGATTGCTGGTCTCCAGGGTAAAAAATATCAATGAGTTTGGAATCATCCGATCCTGGAGGGCGGTCAAAAAGACCTGAAATGAATGAAGATTGTAAAGTCCATTATGCCATATTCTTCAGAACAGAGATAGGAAACAGGACACAAACCAACCACTCACACACATCCCACAAAACTTCCCCATTGACCTCTTAACCAAGATTCAAAACAATTGCAAGTAATGGTGGAAGAACAGGAAACTGGTTCTTTGAAATCTACCCAATTCAAAAAATTAAATCAATTTACTTGTTCGAATATTATCAGGGTAAATCTACAAAGTTCGTTAGTTTAATAAACTTAGAGATTTTAAAATATACACATTTCAGCTTTCTAACATCACAAGGTGAGTTAACTGATGTCACTACTGTGAGCCCCTGAACAGGAAGCTAAGTTATCCTAAAGACCTGCATTATTTTTATATAGTACCAAGTAGGGTAAAACACTAACATGCAATCATCAACTCACCCAAATCCTTATGTTATCTCATCAAAACAGCCAACAGAATAATTTGCCCAGCTTCATAAACAAAGCAAGATTTGTGTAAAAAAAAAAAGCATATCTAATTAAAACTTAGTCATGACCAACACCAGAACTCTGGTCTCTTGACATGTGATTTCATGCTTATGGGTTGCAGTGATGTCTTTTTACAAAGCTGCAGTGTGGATAACTCTAAGCAAAAACTTTCTGAGGATTGTTGTGGTTGCATGAGTCGTTTCAGTTGTGTCCAATTCTCTGCAACCCCATTTGGGGTTTTCTTAGCAAAGGTAGTGGAATGGTTTGCCATTTCCTTCTCTGGCTCATTTTACAGATGAGCAACTGAGCCAAACAGGGTTAGTGACTTGCCCAGAGTCACACAGCTATTAAGTGTCTGAGGCTGGATTTGAACTCAGGTCCTCTTGACCCCAGGGCCCAGCTCTCTAGGTGTTTATTATTACTCGAATGTTCTCTACTGGCTCCCTTTCCTTTAGCCATTGCTCCAATCCACTTACATGAAATTCACGTGCTAAAACTCTGGCACATCCCAGAGAGAAGACTTCACACGAGGCAGCTAGGTGACATAATAGCTAGCCAGGAATACCTGAATTCAAATGTGATCTCTGACACTTACTATTTGTGTGACCTTGGGCAAGTCATTTACCTGTTTGCCTCAGTTCCCTTGTCTGTAAAAGTGAGGATAATAATAGTACCTACTTCCCAAGGTTGTTGTGAGGATCAGATGAGAGATCATTTTAATGGATCAAGATTTGACCTCGATAGCTACAGAAAGCACTGACATGTTTTAAAAATCTAGAGACCAATCTGGACTATCAATAGTTGGACAAATTTGTTTCCTAGAATCAGATGTGTCACCTTGCCATTCATCCCCTTTTCCTCACACATTTTAGCAACTAACTTAATCATCAAGCAATAATCTCAGTTTATTCTTTAGTCCTCATCAAATGCAGTGTCTAACATAGTGCTTTCCATAACTGGTGCTCAGTAAATATTTGTTGATTAAATAACTGAAATTCATTCTTCTCTGGGCTAGCTCAAACTCATCAGAGTTGAGAAATCTTCATGTTTTGCACGTGCTCTAATTTATCAAACTACAGTGAGAGGGGATTACAGGGATTATCTCTGACCATCACCAAGAGAAGAACAGGTGGTAATCAATTGCACTCTTCCTCTCTCTTCTGATTAGTTGGCTTATAAATAAAATAATAATAATTAGTATTCTACTTATTATATATGTATAATAAAAAATATTATATATCTATTAGAAGCAGCAGGAAGCAGCAGTTAAAATGTATATTTCTGAGTGCATCATTTACTTGACAGGATTATTTGATAATTTTTAGATCTCTATATGCAGATACAGAGATAGCTTCTCTTTTCTGGATAAAATGTAGAAAACCTAAAATATTTTGCATATATATATAAAAAATAAACCAATAATGATAACCCTTCTCTCCTCTTCCTCAGTTCTGGGTCACAGATCTAGGGAGAGAGGAACAGTCAGGAGAGAGCTCAGGGCCTAGCCAAGTACTGAACACAGAGTGTGGCTCTCAGTCCAGGGGAAGAGCAGAGATTCAGCTCTGGCTTTAGCCTCGCATATGAACATGCAGTGGGATAACCAGGTCAGGAAACCAAGACTGAAGGGGAGCCAGCAGTTCAGTGGCTCTACACCCAGAGAACCTCTCAGCAAGCTAACAGTGACTGAGTCCAGCAACAAGCTACTGAAATCCAATCACACACAAACCAGCAGATCCAAACCTGGGTGAGGAATTTGCAGAGCTCAGACCAGGACAGCGGTGAACAGCCCACCCTGCAGGCTCTCCAGACTGAGCTATGAAAGCAAAAGATGTAAGATGACCGAAGCCTGGGCCAAAGATCAGCCCCGCTCCCCTCACAGAAGCACACAGAACCTGGCACTAACATAAAGTCCAAAGTCAAACGTTAGGCTGGAAGAATGAGCAAATGACAAAAAACCTGACCATAAAGTTCTACAGCAGTGACAGGGAAGCTCAAGACAAACTCAGAAGATGAAAATGACTTGAAAATATTTATAAATGTTTTTATAAATTTATAAAGTTATATATATGTGCGTACATATATGTATATATATATACACATATGTGTGTGTGTATATATATATATATATATAACATATAGACAGATAGATTTATAAAACCTTAAATAAAAATGAAGAATTCCTAGAAGTTAAAAAAAAATTTTAAACCAAATAAGAGCTAAGGAAAAAAGGAATGAAAAGGGAATTAACAACTTAGTAAAAGAAGTACAAAAACCTCAATGAAGAAAACAAGTCCTTGAGAATTAGAATTGGCCAAATGGAAGCTGCTGACTGTATAAGAAATCAAAAAACAATCAAAGTCAAAAGACTGAAAAAAAAATAGAAATAGGCAGTTATCTCCTAGGAAAAGCAAATGACTTGTAAAACAAATAAGGAGAGACACCTTAAAACCATGAACCAAAAAAAAAAGGAGTCTAAACATAATATTTTTAAAAAAACTTCCCAGTAATCTTAGAACCAGAAGGAAAAGAAGAAAACTGAGACTCCATCAGTCGCATCTTGAAAGAAACACCAAAATGAAAACTCCCAGGAATGTTAACAGTCAAAATTCAGAACTCCCAAGTAAATGAAAAAATACTACAAGGAGCTAGTTAGTATAATACATGATTTAGCAACCACTACTATAACATAAAGGAACAGAGAGCTCAAAATAGGATATTCAGAAAGCAGAATAACCTACCCATCAAAACTGAGTATAATCTTACATGTGAAAAAAATGGACTTAAATAAAATTGAGAACTTTCAATTCCCAATGAAAAGACCGGAGCTGAGAAGAAAAACTGACATACAAATGCAGGGCTTAAGAGAAGCACATAACAAGGTAATAAGGATGAGTGAGAAATCACAAAAGACTACAAGGTAGGGAAAAGGAATGCACTGGCAGAAGGAAGAAGACAAACAAGGGAAAATTAATAAATGGAGTATACAAGAAAAAGTTTATACAACAGAGAGGTGAGTGGGGGGAGCAGCAACATTTGAACCTCACTCTCATTTGAACTGGTTCAAGGAGGGAAGAATACACACAAACACAGTTGAATACAGAAATTCATCTTAGCCAACAGAAAAAAGGGTTAAGGGAAAAGAGAGGAGGGAATAAGAGGAAGAGCAGATTAAATGAGGTAGTAATCAGAAGCAAAACTTATACTCTTAGGGAGGGGACAAGGGAAAAAAGAGATGGAAAAACATAAGAAAACTGGATGGAGAGAAATACACAGTTAGGAATAATAATTATGAATATACATAGGATGAGTTCACCCATAAAATAGAAGAGGACAGTAGGATGAACTAGAAACCAGAACCCAACAAACATGTTGTTTACAAGAAACACATTTGAAACAGAAAAATACTCATAAACTTAAAATAAGCAGAATCTATTATGATTTAGTTGAAATAAAGACAAGGGTGGCAAATATCTCACACAAAGTAAAAGAAAAAATAGACCTAATTAAAAAATATAAACAGGGAAACTACCCTTTACTAAAAGATACAACAATAATAATAATATAAATAATAATAATACAATGAATAAACATCAATACTGACTATATATGCACTGAATGGCATTGTATATAAATTCTTAAAATAAAAGTTAAATGAGTTACAAGAGGAAATAGTAAAACTATAATAACGGGGGATCTCCATTTACTTCTCTCAGACCAAGATAAATCTAACCATAAAATAACCAAGAAAGAAGTTAAACATGAATGGAACTTTAGAAAAGTCAGATTTGATAGACTTCTGGGGACTATTAATGGGAACAGAAAAGAACACACCTATTTTTCAACTGTGCATGGCACCTTCACAAAAACCAACAATGTAACAGGACATAAAAAACCCTCACAATAAATGCAGAAAAGCAGCGTTAAATTTTAAATTAAAAATTGAATTTTCCTAATCACAATGTAATGAAAGTTATATTCCATAAAGGATCTTTGAAATATAGATAAAAAATTAATTGGAAACTAACAATACTAAAGAAAACATACAATAATTTCATTAAAGATAATGACATCAGAGAAAACACACCAAAATTTGCGATACCAAAGCAGCACTTGGCAGAAAATTTAGATCTGTAAGCGTTTTCATCAAGGAAAGAGAAAAGCAGCACAATGAATTGGGCATGCAATTAAAAAAACCAGAAAACCAACAAATTTAAAACTCCTAATTAAACATCAAAATAGAAATTTTGAAAATCAAAGAAGATAAATAAAACTGAATGTAAAAATATCATTAAATTAATAAATAAAACTAGGAGCTGGGATTTTTTTGTATAAAATTAACAAAATAGATAAGCCAATAGCTAATTCGATTAAAAAAAGAAGAAAACTAAATGACCAGTATTAAAAAAAGAAAAAGGTAAATTCTAAACTAATGAAGAAAAAATAAAAGCAATTATGAGGAGTTCATTTCATCTAACTATATGCCAATAAAACTGACAATTTAAATGAAATAAATTAATATTTACA